TCCTCCTAGTGATTGCAAAATGTTCTCAGGCCGTAGGGATTATATAATCCCTTCACAAGTGCTGAGACTTCTATAAATTATTGCGCACCATCAAAGGATAAAGGTGGATGATAATATTTTTATCCGTGTTCTTGTGAGTGTGTGTGTTTGTTACCAAAGTGAACCTCAGGATGATTCTTTCTATAAAACTCACAGAAAGTCGTCACTGAGTGTTCATCTCATTAACTTCTACAGCCAGCTCAATTCAAGATGGCTGTCACAGTCAACTGACCTCTGAAAACACAACGATGTCTGTAACCCAGTCAGTTAAACAAACACTGAGCTTAAATTAGGCAGGGAAGTAGCTGAGGATCCTTCACAACACACACTCTGAACACGACAGCTCTTTAATGAAAACTGCTGCTTGATCCAAAATAACGTAGATCACTCGACGGCTCGTTTGAGACCAATCTGAGCCGTTTGTATACGAGAGAAGGATATGTTGAGAAACAGACATAAAGGAAACTTTTCAAAGAAGGTGGTATACGTGTGTGTGTGTGTGTGTGTGTGTGTAAAGTTCTTGCCTTGCTGACTCAGGTTTGCTGCAGACATCTGGTTAGTCAGCACTTGGCCTGTGAGGGGCAGATGCTGCTTGGCCGTCCACGTAACGTTCACAGAACACCTCCAATCCAAGCAGGAAGAAAACTTCTTATTGTTCCAAAGCCTCACCTGGTTTAACTGAAACACTTGTTACCTGGTCTGCATGAGACTTTTGCCCAAACCTCAGTCCTCTCCAGAGGATGAGTCCCACCAGTTGAAGTAATCATCTGGTTCTTCCTGATGTACCAGTAACACAACTGATCATATATGTAATGTGAAATGTACTCGTATGTAAATGAGCTCATCTCGTTCTACTTTTGAGGAGTTCGTGCTCCAAAATGAAAACTGAGCATGACTGTAGAGTTGTTGGGAGACTTGAGCTGTGTCCTCGTGAGCACCATTGTTGATGTTCTGAACCTCCTGACCTTTTCTCAGTTGATGAAGTTCCAGCTGTTATCAGTGACTTTCATTAGGACTGGGTGACTTTGTTTGCCAGGGAAGATATTATTATTGTTCCGGTCTTTGCTGAGTCCTGATGTGTGATCTTGCACGTTTAGCTCCGTCTCATTAAGTCCCGTGTCCTCACACCCCTCTACGAGTTGACGTCTGAGCAGCACTGCAGTCAGCAGATGTTCCTGCTGCTTTGTGTCCATGTAGCTCTCCACACCAGAGTGGCTTTCATACGACATGGTGGCTTCCTGTTCACTCCACCCTCGAGCCCTCGTCCAGAGAACCGGCCTCAGCACCTCCTTTGTGTCGTGTTTCTGTGAGCTGAACCAGCAAAAGGCTAAGATGAACTCCCCAAACGAGTGCAGGGGGACACCAACTCTGAGTCGTGCTGCTTATTAGTTACTGCAGAGACTTTAGCTGCTGCTGTCCACACACACATGCACATGCACACACGCACACACACGCACATGCACACACACACACACACACACACACACACACTTCCACTTCTAAACCAACTGTTTTCTTCTTGTTCCCTCCTGATGTGAAACTGCTGCCTCTCTGTTGCGTCCGTCGGACATTTTGACAGTAAACACTGTGAACGATGAGCTGGTTTCTTATCGCAGCTCTTTTGTTGTCTCTCTGTTCGTGTCAACAGTCTGACAGAGCAACAGAGCACAGAGTCTAAAATAGACTCCCAGTGAACTCACTGGACTGTGTTTACCAGTGATTCAGCAGAGGGAGCGAGGCCGTCACAGAGTCCCCGTCCACTGTGCCAAGATTCAGCTCGGACTATTCCTGGTTCCTGTTTACCCTGAGCTATCTTGTTTGTTTACTTGACTTTTAATACAACGACTTTTCAATCAGCTGGCCGGCTCCTCCAAGACAGAGGCAGGGGGTGGGAGGTGAGAGGTTCAGGCTCCAGTGAGCAACATCAGCAATACGTCCTGGTCAAATACCTGAAAACTACCGGTCATCATTTTAAAGGACACCCAGATGTCTACAGAACACACCTTCAGGTTCTTGCTGGATGGTCAGAAAACATCCCACACATTGATTTCTCTATAATATGATCCAGATGAAGATATGATTTTATGAGTAGCTGAGAGTCATTCACAACCCATACTCTGAGCTCACAATGTTGCATGAGACTGCACATAACGCTATTTTTAAGGTTCAACCACAACGGCTACAACTCCATTATTTCTCAGCATGAGATGGTCTTAGTCTTAAACTCTGATCTGAATGATTGTGAGCGATGTGCACTCCTTCAAGGAGCGTTAGACCTTCATTAATAAAATATAAAAGCAGCTTTCATGCGTTTGCCTTTTCTCTGCTCTGTTTTCATCCATCTAGATAACAGCTCCGGTCTTAACGTCACCAACTCGTCCAGCTTGGAGCCTGATGACGCAGCAGAGGAGTTCCAGCTGATGAAGGACTGGCCCATCTGCAAGGACCAGGACGAGATGCTGAACCTGGCCTTCACTGTGGGCTCCTTCCTGCTGTCAGCCATAACCCTGCCCCTGGGCATCGTTATGGACAAGTATGGCCCACGAAAGCTACGCCTTTTAGGAAGGTGAGGTCGGAGAAAGAAAAGTAACCTGAGATTATTTGATAAAGCAGTGGTTCCCAACCCTGGTCCCTGAGGAACACCATCCTGCATCTTTTAGTTTTTCCTGTGCTCCAACGCACCTGATTTGAATGAAAGGGAGATTAACAGCTTCTGCTGAATTTAAGGAAGTAATTAAAGCACTGAATCAGGTGTGTGGGAGCAGAGGGCCGACGAAAACATGCAGGATGGTGTTCCTCAGGGACCAGGGTTGGGAACCTCTGAAAATTCCAATACATTTTGAAGTGATTTTTTTGTAAGTGATTTCTAAACAGTTGGCTTCTTATGAGCTGTGACATCAGTCATAGGGGATGGAGAAAAGGGCAGAGGTCTTAATCCAGGTGAGGCTAATGGCTCTCCAAACGTGGGCGCTGTTTTAAAATCAATTTCCCGGGCTTATGAAACAACTCTCTCAAAAACAATAAACTAGTGTAAAAGAATGACCTAATATTGCACCTCTTCAATTTATTCAGTGTTATGCTGTTTTTTCAACCCAACAACGTTTGTGTTACACAAATGAGGCGTAGACCGCTGTAAACCGATGGCGCTGAGGACAATCAGTCTTCCAGGAGTTGGGTAAACGTTTGGACTGTCTGGATGTCCCGACTGATTCAGATATTCAAAAATGCTGATTAAAGTTTGTTAATGTGGGGCTTTGATACAGTGGTGTATTGCTTTTGAGAAAGAGTCATTTCATGAGCTGAAAACTTGACAAACAACAATTTGGCTAGCTGTTAGCTTAGCCTGGACAAAGAGGTTTGCCTCTTTCTCCATCCTCCGTGCTCTATGACTGATGTCACGTTGGATAAGATATATTATTTACTGATAACTATTAGACAGAAATTCACCAGGCTATCCCTTTAAGGTCATGAAAACGTGACTTCATAGCATTTATTAAATCTGTTGCAGTGCCTGCTTCGCCTTCTCCTGTCTCCTCATCGCCTACGGTGCCAGAGATCCTAACAGTACGTATCTTTGCTCGTGTCATTAAACACATCGCTTTATCATTACTTTAGGTTCAGTCATAAGACGTGTCCCTTACAATCTGTCCTTTGTCAGCCTGATGTTCTACATGACCAAAGTAATCAAGAATATTTGTGATGTAGCGGTGACTCCTCAGTCAGTCGTCCGGTTTTGACTCATTTGCACTCTCTCCTCACGTTCTGCAGATCTGTCCGTCCTAATCTTCGTTGCACTGGCGCTGAACGGGTTTGGAGGCATGTGCATGACCTTCACATCTTTGACGGTAAGGAAGCTTTGCTCAAACTTGCAGTTTTTTATAAACTGGGTTTTTACTTGACCCGTTCACTTGACTACATGTTCCTACTTCTGAGCTGGCAGTTTGAAGAGTTGTACAAAAACACCTTACCTACAGTATGAAGAAACACAAGGACAGTTTTAAAATTAATTCATTTTCTAATCCCTTTCCATAATTTATGGTTGGAAATTCAATAAGTCTGCAATGAGCTTTTCATACAAGGCCGTTTTGGTGACCGGTATATTGACTACTCAGTTTGTATTGAAGAACTGGAGGGTGCAAAACCCTGAAACAACTAGCTGTAATAAATTATCCACCTCTGTATACCTGCTCTATAAAACGAGTTCATAGTTTCATAATCCATTAGGAATAATGTACCCATTTTGTAATTTGTTGCCTGGTTTCTAACGGAGTGAGGTAATTAAAACTTTTAACATAAATATTAAATAAAACCATAATGCATCACCAAAAATATTGTCACTTCTTCTGATCCCATCTTTTCTCTTAGACATGTTGCATCACTCTTACACCAACACATATCTGTTGAAAACCCTGACGTTCGATTGTTTCTAGGTGAAAATATCTTTCTTTGAGACATTTAATGGCAAGCATTTAACCTTAATAGGTTTAGATTTTAACATTCACTAATCTAATAAGCTCGAACAAAAATCAAAACTGGGCCACTAAAGTTTTTTTATCTATTCTCGTAACTTCCCTAAATATTATACTGAGCACGATGGCTCAGTGGTTAGCACTGTTGCCTCACAGCAAGAAGGTCCTGGGTTCAATCCTCGGTTGGACCTGGGGTTCTTCTATGTGGAGTTTGCATGTTCTTCTCGTGCTTGCGTGGGTTTTCTCCGGGTACTCCGGTTTCCTCCCACAGACCAAAAACAAAAAAACCAGTCTGCCTTCAGGCCCAGGCCTCCCTTGCAAATGAGATCTGTGATCTCAGTGGGGTTTGCCTGGTTAAATAAATAAAGGTTAATAAATGCCAGCTCCATCCCACAGAGGAGTCGATCCTCTGAGCTCAGTTTGAACCGCAGTGAAGTTCAAACATGGCTCAACATGTCGAAGCCGAGAAACCGTGTGTAAGATAAACAGTAGCCAACCAGTTAGCTTGTCGTGCAGGCTGTCAGGTTATAAGCACAAAAAGGGTTTTTTAAGTCTCGTGGGAGGATTCTTGTATGAGTAAAAAAAACTTATATTTATGTTGAAAAGACCTGCAGAACTAATTATTATCACACAGCAGAGTTGACACGTGCTTTCTGGTGACACTGGGCTCATCTTACAATTGCAGTCAGCTGTCGACAGTACTTTACTCGACTTGGCCTCACTGCCAAAGGACTCTAAAAAGTTTTTCACTCCTATTTTGGCAGAAGTGTTTGGATGTATTGGTCCCTATTTGGTTCTGGTTCACTAAGCCCAGTACTGATATGAAAAAGGAACAATGGTTATTGCGCACCACCAGACAAAGGCAGAGTGATGATGTTTTTGCTTTTGTGTGTGTTTGTCTGTGCTGTTGGCAAAATGTCTCACGAACCACGTGGGTTCTTCTAAAAGCCGTCACTGGGTCAGCATTTCCAACAGACTAACTTCTGGAGTCAGATTACAGATGGCTGCCACAGCCTGCTGACCTTAGACAACACTATAAAGGCTATATCTAAAATCAGTTGTGCAGATTTGCAGTTTTACAGTAAATGTTTGGTGTGGTAGTAGCTGACAGTCAGTCAGTGCTGCACAAGATCCCCAGGATATTTTCAAGGTTAGCTCTAACACGTCATTTCTCAACATTGGACGATTGACGGCTAAAAATCAGCCACTAGGGGACACAAGCCAGTGTATCTCTTGTGCCGGTCCCAAGCCCGGGTAAATGGTGAGGGTTGTGTCAGGAAGAGGATCTGATGTGAAACACTTTGGCCAAAACAATAAGGTGAGTTCATCAAAGTGACACCATACCGGATCGGTCAAAGTTTACAAGACAGTGGTGAGACCAGCTATGTTGTATGGTCTGGAGACAGAGACATGGACAGAAAGACAGGAGGCAGACCTGGAAGTAGCAGAAATGAAGATGTTGAGGTTCTCCTCAGGAGTGACAAGGATGGATAAAATTAGTAATGAGATCATCAGAGGTTCAGCCCAGGTTGAACAACTGGGAGATAAAGTTAGAGAGGCCAGACTGAGGTGGTTTGGACATGTCCAGAGGAGGGACAGTGGGTATATTGGTTGAAGAATGTTAGAAATGCAGCTGCCAGGAAAAAGACAGATGAGATATACAGATGCAGACAGAGTGAGGTGGAGTCAAAAGTGACTGAGTTAGAGCTATTTTTGTGTTTTCTGAGATCAGTTGGCTCTGGCAGCCATCTTGAACTGGATTAACTCATAAAGTGTATCAGTTGTAGACGCACATCTAATAACTACTTTATGACAGTTTCAGTAAAATCTGTAGTTATGAAATATTGAGCAACATATACACATGCACACACTTTTTCATTCATTCAACCTTTATTTAGACAGGTACATCCCATTGAGCCTCGAGGACTCATTCACAAGAGAGACCTGATTACACACATGCGTCCATGCCCTCCGTCTTCAGCGACGGGCAGTAATCGGGTATCAGAAACATATCAGTTCAGTGCCTGGACTTTGTGGACGGCAGAGGGTCTCCCCCAGGTGTTGGACGGCAGAGGTTCTCCTCCAGTTGTTGGATGGCAGAGGTTCTCCTCCATGTGTTGGATGGCAGAGGTTCTCCTCCAGGTGTTGGACGGCAGAGGTTCTCCTCCACGTGTTGGACGGCAGAGGTTCTCCTCCAGGTGTTGGACGGCAGAGGTT